AATTCTTTTCAAAAACAGTCGTGCAAATTAGCGTTGCAGGTGTTTAGCCATACTGTATCTGCTGCAATAAAAACGTGTACTGAAACAGGCCAGCTAAAAAGTGAATCTGCTATAGATACAGCTAACTTTATTTCGTTAATGAACAATACGTTTGATAACTTAAATAGTAAAATTAAATACGATAAAAATCCATACATATAGACGTGCAATTAGTGACGAAAATGTGGAAGTTCTAGAAACCCTAACCACTTGTAAACAGTTTGTAAAAAACTTGTCAAAAATCAATTCTAAAGGGAAAATTACTAGACCACCATGCTTTTCCGGTTTAATACAAACTATCAACGGCGTTGTACTCCTTCATGACGAATGTAAAAAAAGTACATTTAATTACATATTAACGAATCGGTTGTGCCAGGACGTACTCGAAAATTATTTTTCTGTCGTTCGCAAAAGGGGTGGCTTCAATAGAAATCCAACATGTAGAGTTTTTAGAACAGTATTTAGATCATCGGTCATTAATTGTATAACTCCATCCGAATACGCGAACTGTGAAATTGATGAAGATGATTACTTAAGCACCGCTCCTGACCAAACTACTTTGAGTTTGAATGCCCACGAACATAACTCCGAAAGCGTGTCCATTTGTGATAATGATAACATTTGTAGTGAAGAATGTTCAGAACTTGACAGTGGAAAGAACACCGACACCGAAATTCAGATAGCGCAACCCGTCACCATTGAAGATTGTGCAATAAACTACTTTGCTGGTTATGTTTGTAGCAAAACCGCTAAAAAGTTTGATTGTGAAACGTGTTCTGAAAAATTTTCACTCCAAAGTGCACAAGCTTCAGTTATATATTTCAAACAAAATGTATAAAAAGCAAGACACTTCAAAAGGACTTTTCTCCCCTTCACTACATATTTATAAATTAGTGAATGACTGCTTGACCATATTCCACAATGAATTTAAAAATATGTTCTGGGAAAGAGACATTCGAAAAAAATTATCTTTGAAGAGTCGACACTTATTTAATTCAGAAAATTTTTGTGGTAATGAAGAACACAAAAAATTTTTCATTGACTTACTTCTCACCGCAAAAATTCACAAGGAGTGCAAATGGTCATTAATGCCAACATTTTCCGCCAAATCGAAATTGAAAATTATGCAGCATAAATAGTTACATAACAGTTGCAGCACCCTTGCACACGCCGTAAGTAACTTTACTTCCAAGCCTTTATTTAATCAAAACCTTTCAGATTTTTAAACATTTTCGTCGGTTTACCAATTTATTTATTTACTGTGTCACCTTGTTTGGCAATTATGCACTTTTGGAGTCGTAAGTAATATTCTTTTAAATACGCTACCGATTTCATAACAAAACTTTTCAGATTTTTAAACATTTTCGTCGGTTTACCAATTTATTTATTTACTTTGTCATTTTGTTTGGCAATTATGCACTTTTGGAGTCGTAAGTAATTTTCTTTTAAATACGTCATCGATTTAATAACAAAACTTTTTAGATTTTTAAACATTTTCGTCGGTTTACCAATTTATTTATTTAGTGTTTGTCACCTTGTTTGGCAATTATACACTTTTGGAGTCGTAAGTAATTTTCTGTTAAATAGGCTACCGATTTAATAACAAAACTTTTCAGATTTTTAAACATTTTCGTCGGTTTACCAATTTATTTATTTAGTGTTTGTCACCTTGTTTGGCAATTATGCACTTTTGGAGTCGTAAGTAATTTTCTGTTAAATACGCCACCGATTTAATAACAAAACTTTTCAGATTTTTTAACATTTTCGTCGGCTGCTTTGCTTTAAATAAGTCAACAGATCAATTGAACAATTTTTCTGTGATAAGTCTTTAGAATTTAAATTGGTGTTTATAGCACCGGTGTTCGCGGAGTGCGGCGCGGTTGTTGGATGGAGCTCGCAGATTACGGCAATATTGCCCAGTTGAAACATGATTCGGCAATTACGTTAGACGGAAGATAATTCCACTGGTCGACATTATTTACGTTATTAATAAAGAAAATCTTTTATAGTTGGAATATGTAATTATTGTTTGTTGCGTTTTTTTAATTTTTTGGGAGGGTTATGCAGCATTTATGGACCATCCAATTTAATATATTTTTAATGGTAAATTATTTTGAAGACCTTAAAAAATTAACTTTGGGTATGCCTTGTAAACAAAAAAACAAACGGGGCGGTGTTTCGTTTCGCTCAATCAGAGCGCCCTGTTAATGAATAATTGGAATTTAGTACGTTTACATACCATATTTTGTGTAGTGTTGACTACAGATACCGATACTGAAATTTCAGTGTGAGTCCTCTTGTTGCAAAAAGCGGTATCATGTTTCATAAAAATCTTTAATAAAAAATTATATTTTTCACTGGAAATTGGGGACCTATAGGCAACCCGTAGTTCGCATTTGCATTCTGGTTGTATTTAGTAACACTGCATTTGGTTGGCAATCTGTTGGGTATTTTATGGGTATTTTATCTGTGCTAACACCAATTAACTAAATGTAGAGTAAAATTGTAAAGAAGGTAAATACACAGAAATTTACTAGAACATTTCCAAAATGGCATGGTGTATGAATATTGATAGACAAATAGCATGCTGTCTAATAACATTTCATGTTTGTATATGTTGTTTCTAAGCACAGTATCGTTCATATCTATTACATATACAAATGCATCCAGCCATGTCTTGGTAAGGTATGATAGTTTCACATATTTTGGTCAATGCCTACCAAGTCAAATGTGGATGTTTTCTAAGTACATACATAAAAAAGTAAGTCACCTAACATAATGAAGGTACTTGTTAGATGAATCACTTGAAAATATCTTTCAAACATTCCTTCTGTCAATAGCGTATTTTACAGATCATGCTGGTTGTAACGAAAATGGCATAAAATAGTCTGTCCTACTAAAAGAAGGTAAATTAAAAGGGGCCCATTTAATCCGTTTTTATTGTGTGTGATAGGTACCTGTAAAGATTTAGATGATTAAAAAATGAAAATATTTACAGGTAATATATTAGTGTGCTCGGTTAGTAATTAACTAGTAAATCATGCATCATAAGTTAATAACAAAATACATAAAGCGGGACACTACACTACACTATATCTTGAATCAAGAAAACTTTTAAGATTTTCTTAAATCAAAATTCGATTGCTACGTACATTTTACGTTGCTTTGTTCCTCCAAATCTTACGGGTTGTGTTACACAATGAAAAGCAAAAGTCACTCAACAAAAGCCACTGTGTATCCTTTCAAAGCACAAATAAAATAAAAGGTTTCTAATGCTACTTTCGAACGTTTGATTGAGCAAGTTCCGTTTTTGTTTAAATTTATTTCTTAATTGGTACTATGTACATGACATAATAATAGCCCTTAATTTAATTAATAATTACAAAAATCACTTATAGTACATTTCTTTAATAAAAAAAATTCTAACTGTAACTAAAAATCGTTGTTAACACTTTGGGAAGGTTATTGTCTATTTAATGCAAAAGTAACAAATCTAATGTAAGGTTTCGTAGAGGTCGTTTTTGGTCTACACAAAAAAATGAGATAAGGTGCAAATAAAGCATGCGTTAAGTGCATGCAAAAACACACACGTTATTTTACGAAATAGATATGGAAGCCATACAGTTTTCTTTAAAAGTAATTAATGTTAGAAAACATTCAGTCACTATGATAGCTAGACTTGAATTTCAATGTGACATATGAAGTTCAAAATCAACATCACTTACAACATTAATAATTACAAAATCATTTACGTGTTGCATAACATTCAAAATTAAATAATAAAGATCGATAGTTTATACTGAAATGTTTAGGATAAACAAGATTGACAGGGAACTGCGGTGGTCCAAGCATCTACAGAATGTTGTCACAAAGTGTAGGAAATCATTAAATGTCATTAGGGTCCTGGCCCACCATATGTGGGAAGCTCACCCAAAGACGTTACTCGACGTCTACAAGGCCTTAATTTTATCGAGAATTGATTATGGGTGCTGTGCTTATCTGACATGTGACAACAGTGCGATGCTTGGGAATCTCGATAAAATCCAAAACCTCGCCATACGGTATTCCCTCGGAGCTTTTCCAACGAGTCCGGTCGCTGCGCTTCACGTCGAGGCGAACATCCTTCCTCTAGCCCTCCGTCGTAAACAGGCTGCTGTAAACTATTATCAGTTCCGCGTCGACGACTGAATAGGTGCAGAACGCTGAGCCAAAGGGCTAGAGAGGATCTAACGTATCTACAACTAAATGACCTTGATGTTGCAAATGAGACAACAGTAACCCGACGTACACTCGTCAGGGCTCGGGTGTATGAGCGTTGGAGCGACCTATGGGCGAGGTCCGATTCATTTTTGAAAAGGGTCAAACCCGATTTGGGGCGCTATTTCTTCTTGGCGAGGGTCGGTTTGTATTCGTGAGATGTTTCGAATTAGACTTGGGCACACCGCATTAACCCATAGCGCCTTGCTGGAAGGTAAACCTAGACCCCTATGTGCGAATTGTGAGGTTAATTTAACACTAGAGCACATACTTTGTAACTGTCCACGATACAAAGATATACGGGACAACTTCGGGATATGCCCGATATGGGAAGGTAACTTTAACAGCGATGAACGGTGTCGAAGGGTGATAGGATTTTTCCAAAGTGTGGAAATGTTGCACAAACTGTGATATAATGGCTGTCTATTTAATTGTTATTTATTGTTGTCTGTCAGTTACCAACTTTGTCATATCGAAAATATTGTATTGTATGTGAGTCGACCTACCTGTATGTAATATTCTATTAGAACGAAGTCTGTGATATTTTGAGAAAATAGGCAAATGGCCATAGAAGCCGAAGCCTTAGGTGGGGTTTTAGTGGGTATACCCGAGTAAGGGAGAGCCCCACACTACTCCAGACCTTTCAACCTGGAGTGTGCATAAGGAGCATTTCCCCACCTACCAAAAAAAAAAAAAAAAAAAAAAAATTGTATCAATTTAATTTTTCCAAAATTCATTTGCTAAATAGAGCAGCTTGCAGGTTTGTATGATTATTGTAACAATACTATTTACACTGCAACTAAAAATGAAATTTGCAAATGTTGGAGTGAATAAATCATTCGTAAATTTTTTGTATTGTAGAATAACAACAAGATGCGGCCATTTTGACAAAGTATACAGATTGCAAACAGAAATAAGCCTCTCATTTATCCTTAGACATAATGCACACGAAAGACATGTAACATGCGCAATTTCAATAAGCCATAAGCAAAAACTGTACCTAATCATACATACTCTCCCAACCACACGCAACTTCCCACCCTTTATTTAGTATTAAACTTTAAAAATGGTAACAAATTTATTCTTTCTTAACAATTTTTAATTACCTATAGGTACATAAAGTCTATATACATCTATGAATTGTTTTTGTCATTAAATCTATGCTATGGAATGATATAGACAAATTGATTGACAATTCAAGTTAGCTATATTTCACGAATCCTTTAAAAGATTACCCCATTACATTAATTTATATCATACAATTCATCGGCGACTAATATCATTCAATCATTCACTCTGTGCAAATGGAAGATGATGTGATCATACAAAATAGTAGAATAATTGTTAGTTACAAAAACTAAATTTGAAAATAAAAACTCAATAAAAACGGATTTCTTTTCGAAGCTCTCTAATACACTTGCCGATACATGCATTTTAAATCAACCAAATCAAAAATGGAATGTAGGTAGTATAACAACAAAATGAAGATCATGCTAAAATTTGAGACAATCATGATCAAAAATGCCTGCAACATTCCATGTAGTCTCTCGCATCTGAATAATATAACGGAATCGCTAACATCGATGACTACATATTTACATACGTATATCAAATGTGATGAACACATTCAAGATCGAAATTATTGACCAATTTAAAATTCTTCTAAAAGTTCTTATACATTTTTTAAATTTTAACTGAATGCGGAAAACACCATTACTACAGTCACCATCGCTTGTAACGCGAAAGAAACATCAGCACTTGTAGTTGATCCGTAAAAACCACCTAGGCAAGGTAGGGAAACATTAAATTACCCTAAACGCACCAAACGCTCACACGCATTCATACATCAGTTCGACAAAAAATGTACTTACGACAAAATGAAAAACTAAAATTAATGTCGACGAAACAACTAATTAAATAAAACACAATAAAAAACTAAAATTAAACTGAAAATAATGGACGGCTCACTTCTAAAAGAAAGTTCACTACTAACGGTGTAACTATAATATTCATCATGCTCACCTCTTGCCGTTCTTACTCTAATTTCTGCAGGTGAACTTAAACCAATAGCGTTATGAGCTCGTAGTTCGACCTTGTAAGTTGTATCAGGTCGAAGATCGCTCATTTCGTACGTCGTATGTTGATAGCTTTGTATGATTTCCCCGCTGCATTCGCTCTCGGAGTCCCTCCAAAGACCATTCACTCGTTGAGTCTGAAATTGTTTTCTCAATCTAGAATTGGCTGATACCCGCAGTCAGTTAATTTAATACGAATTTTATTTTTTATCTTACGAGTCACGCAGACGTCCAAAGTGTGGGCTATACAAGACAGGTCATAGATATCGCAAAAGAAGCGGCCTTAAAAAGACATATCTGAGAAAGGTGCAACACGGAAGTTCCTTTCCTAAAGATTTTCGGAGATATGACGTGTGAGACGTTTAAAACCGCTGCTGGGGGAACGTGGGATAAGGAATGTTTTGAAGCCACGAAAATATGCCATGAAAACCTTCTGCAGATACCGAAAGAAAACGTCACATTCTTCATTAAAGAGTATAAGAGGGGATAATGAAAAAACCAACACCATAGTACTGGGAAGGAGGGCATGTCCTAGGGGAATAGACAGAAGTAGAGCAAGTGGAGAGATATCATCGTAATGGGATTATGTAAGAAAGAAGGAGGACAAGGAGAAGAGAAAACGCCGTTACGTAAGTCCACACAAATACATCAGAGAGGCTTGTCCAATTTCTTCACGTCTCGCAAACCAATCAATCGATCTAACAATATGATCCGATGCGCCCGAATGGAGAATCCACGAAACCGCATTCTTCTGCAAATCGCTTGCCACGTTGACCGGCTAACTCGCGAACAATACTTATTTTTCAGTGATATTCGCCTTTCCTCTGTTTATGCTTTTCTTTGTGTCCGCCCGCTTGTCCAATTTTTTCCCAAATGTAGCATTTTTGTTTTGTTACTCTATATTACTTAGGCACCTAAATGGTCACTATTTTGGAGGTGAGTGACCATTGCCCCATCACCCCACGATTCCACAGGGGTGAGTACACTCCCATCAAAGATGTAAATTTCTCGCGGTCACCCTGTATGAGTTTTATGATACTAGAAATCAAAGGCATTAGGGAAAGAAATACTTCAATCTATCACAAAAATACAGAGCGGAAGGGAAACTGCAAATAAGGAACTAAACAAATTAAGCAAGAAGTGGCAAGCAAGAAAAATGAAGGAAAAAGAGGCAATCTGGAATCTGAAGAGAAACTTTCAGCTAGATCACTCCATAAAAAAACCTGTGGAGGGAAGGAACGAAATATTTAAAATGTTTGCTGATCGCGTACAGTATATTAACTTATTGTGGGTTGTAAAATTAAAAAATAAGACACTTACCACACAATACCTAATTATATAACTGTCAATGGGATCGCCGTTATCATTAGGAACCGTCCACTGCATCTTGTAGTGGTCGGCATAGTGACTTTCGGTAACCAAATCGGCGGCTACATAATTGGATCCGACGTCCGGAAGTTGTCCATCAATAATAAGCTTGGGTTCCGCAGGCACGGATCGCCTAGGCATTTGGATTTGTTGATCTCCCGACCAACCGCCAATGCCAACATCATTCCGCGCGGCAAAGCGAAAATTATACACCTGCTCAGGTACCAAATTTTCCAATATGTAACTGGCATCTAAAAGTAAGAATTAGTGGGTGCTTTAAGGAAAGTGAAGTGGACGTACTGTAGCTCCAAATGTGCTCTTTAGCTGTAGCCCACGTGCGCTCTCTTTCTGTCTGGTACTGAACAGTGATGGAGCGAATCGGTAAACCGCGAAAATTGGAAGGCCCGACAATGTGAAATTTAATTGTCGTCGCCGTAACCGACTCCGGTCGTACTTGCAGAATGTGTTCGGGGACTGTTGCCTTTCGCAGTTCAATCAGTCTCGAGGCTACACCGAGTGTGTTCGTGGCTATGCACTCGTACATTGAATAAAACCTGTGATCGTTGTAAGGTGTAACGATTAGATAAGATATTGGTCCGTTTCCGAATTTTTGAATGTTAGGTGTGTTGTTTTCCTCGATATGCAATCCATTAAATTTCCACTGAATTGTCGCGTTGGGTATCGACTCGGCAATGCAGGTGAGGTTGCCGGGGTGATTCTCCCAACTCCAAACAGGTGGATAGTTCTCAGTTACTTCAAATGTTGGAGGAAACTGGACTGTGATATGACCGTTTTTATACGCATTTTCGACTTTGTTTTCGGCGATGCAGACATAGAGTCCGTCGTCAGATCGGCGCAGCTTGTTGAAGTGTAAAATACCAACAGTTTCGCCCTTTTCCTCGTTGCGAATAAATTCTTGCTTAATTCGAGGATCGTAAGACTGTACACCGTCCGTGAACGGATCGGTTTTTGTCAATTTTTTGAATGAGATGCTAGGCGCTGGTCTGCCTTGAGCTTTACAGATAATCTTAGTAGTGCTGCCTACGGGTTCAGTCACATTCAAAAATTCGTATACCTTCGGTTTCACCAGTACGTTAATTTTGACTGACGTTTCGTTAATTCCGGCAGTATTTTCGGCCACACATTTGTACAGTGAATCGTCGTTAAACTCAACTCTGTGAATGACCAGAGCACCGGTAGTCTTCTTGACAGTGAAGCGATCCACGATGGACAGATCTTCCCTCGTTTTTTCCTTAATCCATTTGAACGCCGGCGGCGGTTTTCCGGTACCGTTACAAATGATTGATGCCTCTTCACCTTCGACAACCTCGACTGGTTCCATTGGTTTTATTTGTGGGGGAATTTGAACTTCTACCTAAAATACCAATGCAATACTCGTATAATTACACCAAAGTTTTTACCCGAATGTTTCTGGTTTCAATTTGACCAGTTTTGAACACAAGTGCCCTGCACGTGTATACGCCATCGTCAGATTCCCTAACTTTCTTGATCAGCAACCCTTGTTGATCCGTGATGTATCTGTTACTGTTCGTTACATTAATTTCCTCTCCATCTTTCAACCAATTTACGATTGGTTCGGGATTCGCTTTTATTTCGCATTTTATCTTATAGTCGCGTCCGATGGTTGAATATTGAGATTCAGGGGCATTCACCCACGTTATTCCGACTAGAAAGATGTTACAGAATAAACTCTCGACTATCAGTTACCACTTACTAATTGTTTTCACGGTGGTGCTCGCCACCAACTGCTCGGACGTGGCGTAGTTAGCTGCGCATGTATACTTTCCGGCGAAATTTTCAGTTAACTTTGAAAATATCAATACGATTGTCATTTCTCCAAAAGCTCGCTAAGAAAATAACTTTAGATGGAACTAATCGAAGTGCCCACATACCTGAATATAGAGCGGAGCTCTGGAGTCTGTCGTGTCTATTCTTCTATTTCGTGGATCTCGCCATTCTAACTGCGTTATTAAGTTAGGGTTTTCCACGTTGGGGGTGCAAATAAGAGCCAATCCGGAATCTACCGGTTTTTCTATTGTGGCACCTTCTGGCTGGATTTGTAATCTTGGCGCGTGTGCAGCAAAAGTAACTGAAACAAAATACGATTCATTAGTTAAGAATTTATTAACATTTTACACGGGACAATTGCCACCTCTAGTTTCATTACGAAACTCAAGCAGATTCTTTCAAGGAAAAAGTCACGTTACAATTACTACGGAAAATGATTTATGAAAGATTTTGAATCAGATTGAAAGTTTAGGTTTAGGATTTATCCTTATGTCCCAGAAGACCCATAAACCGAATTTTAAGAGATTTCTGTTAATTTTAGAAGGACATCTAAAAATGTTTACATTTATTAAAAATTTAGGGCGTTTTCAGAATAGAAAATCAATCTTTTCACCACCCGTACGTTAGTAAGGGAGGTATTGCATTGGGGTGAAAAATGACCTCCACTTTTTTGACGGAAATACACGTTTTGAAGCACCAGGAATCCGAATCAAACAAAATCTCGATGATATCGATCGATCTGTCTGTCTACTCTCATTTCCGGCTAAACGGATGAACCGATTTAAACCCAATTTGGTACACATATTCTTAGACATAAAAGGAATAGCCTTTGAAAGAGGAGGTTCATTATGGAATGTTTTTTTTTCAACTACAACATTTCGAACTTTGAGTTGGGAAGACCGATTTGCGTAAAATTAGCCTTCAATTGTGACCGGGAGTTTATCTACGTAATTTCACACGCTTTTATTTACGAAGACTTGAGATCTCAACTCAGACGTAGAAAGCTGCGCTTTTTAGGTTTAACGACTAGACACGAGAAAATAATTTTTTACGCATGTCAAAACTAACTCAAATAAATTGATCAGCAACAGGTCTTAAAATTTAAAAAAAAACTCTTTCGATTTTCTCTCGGCACTTTTTACAAAGTGTTCTAAAATCCCCAACTCTAAATGGAGTATGTATAAACGGAAGTGAGAAAATTTCGATTCGACGAAATTACGAATCCGGTGGTCTTTGATTATAAAAATTGTGAATCCAAACTTACTTATTACTTTGCAAAGATCAAGGCAAATATTTTTTTCCAAATAAACTAAAGGTCTAAAATGTAAGTATCTCTTGGGAGTTTTTTTTCTCTACAACTATACAGTCTGTTTCAAATTAAGTCGAGATAGTCTGGTTTATAGTTTTGACATTACAAATCAATACATTTCTTCCAGACGTCTCAATCGCTCTTTGTGAGTACTCTCCCCCGACAATCTGTTATTGAGATATAAGGAATAAATTATAATCGATCACGACACATGGTCGAGGAAGACTATGGTTGGTACAAATTAATTCCTTTCGTTGATACCGAGGTTGATACCTTTTATTAGAGTACCATGGAGCCCCCCCCCCCAACCTCCTCTTTTGATAAGGGGTCAGAAAGAAGGGCGGTAGTTGGTAAGAAGCTCTATTTTATTGAGACCTTTAACTCGCTTCGGCGGTACATATACTATTAAAATTCCATGAGAGATAAAATGAATCCCCCTCCCCTCCATTTTCAAGAGTGTTACTTGGCACTAATAAAGACAAGCGTATTCAAAATCTGGACTGAAATTTGTTGTCGCATGTAAAAGTTATGCACGTTTTACTAGCAAAACAGCATCTCAGGAAATAATTCATGGGGGGGGGGGGGGGGGCCAGCGATTTTAATTTTGATGACCCTCTGTCTGCACAATTTCAGGGTGTAGGCTACCTATTGCAAAAAATTCCAGCACTCTAGGACCATTCCCCTAAAAATAGTTCAACACTGCAAAAGTGGGTTCGGACAAAACGCAAACAATAGCACATTTTTTTATTTTTAAGCAATTGCGCTAAAAATAATATTCGCCGAATAATTCATGCAATTCGCCCTCGAATGGTACCCAAAGCTTCAAATTCTCAAAAATGTACTGAATAAAATGGAAACGTTTGTGAACACCTACTTTAACATAGATACTCATTGTAATTTGTAAGTTATTTTTATATTACTTATTTCACCTGTTATTCTTGTTTTGTTAACAACGTACTACAAGTCCTATATCCAGTTATTGTTTTAAATATTATGTGTTTTATCATTTTCATGGATAACTAGATCAAAGAGAAAATAATTAAAAAATCTTGATTATTTGAAGTATTTCGGCTATATGGTGCATTAAGAACTGTTGTAGAGGATGTATAATACAATGGCGATTCATTTGTTTTTCGTTATTCATTTGTTTTCTGAAATAAAAACAATGGAACGCTGCCTTATTATGGGAAATAAAACGTTAAACAACTTTCATATAGAAAAATTTTATATACAGTCGATATTTACCGAGATATATACTATATTCCATACATAATGGGCAAATTTTTAATCAAAAGGGGATGAATTGCATTTCAAGCTCTTAGTGGTGGTAGGTATTTGAATCATTGTGTAATTATGGCACTATCGAATGCAAGGAATAAGAAAACTAAGTAGTCTTACTTACGTTTCACCCCTTCCATATCCTACAAAAAGGGATGATTATTTCAATGCCCTATAATACTGGCGATTGTTCAACTACCTAAGATTATTTTGCTTTCGAACATGTATACCTTACAGTTTCAAAGCATCACCTAATTTTGTATTGCTGTCTTTCCGTCTGTCCGTGTGCACGATAATTTGTTTAGAACCGTCCGAATGTTCTTAAGGATATAAGAAAGGTCGCTATTTCAGCTAACTAACGGGTCAAAAAGTTACCGCCCAAAAACCGCGCAACATCCAAAATAAGGGGTTCTTTTAAAATTCTTGTTACAAAGAACATATGAATGTCAGGTTTTCTGTGTTAGGAAATTTTCCGTAAATCTCAAGCAATTTTAATTCTCTTTTAATTCTTAAAAAATGCGCTAAAAATGACATTTTGATGTAGGCATACAGAATAAAAGTAAAACTCGGCTGGCATTTGGAAACACGACTTTTAATACGGCTGTTATTAAATACCACTAATCCAGGGAGAAAGCACTTTCATTTAAAAAATTAAAAAAAGTTTTCGCCTAACTTGAGCGCATTTTCTACGAAAGTTGACCTGCGCATGCGCACATTAATCGCCAAGATTTTTATTGGTTCACGTGCCAGAACTATAAGCTACCGAATGCAAAAAGAACGAGTATCTTGAAAAGTGTAGGAATAGTTCAGGCCTCGGACGGAGAAAGTGGCTATAAAAAAATTAAGGAAAATTGCGTATTAGGATAAGAGAACTCCAAATACCTATAGGATTTCTTTACCCCACCATGGGGAAAATGCCCTTTAGATTATGTAACGTCTTCAATCCCCACTAGTCAGTGGCCTACGTAGAAATTTATTCTGGGGGGGGGGGGGGGGGGATTAAACAAGTTCGTGACACATACAGTCACCCAGTGCGTACTAGAAAGGGGGGGGGGGTAAGAAATAGAAATTGGGTTGCAGGTTGCTGATACTGGTAGTCATTTATCTATTTATTATTGTACAGGCGAAAAATATTAGAACGGTATTTTATTTCTTACTGCTGACAGGCCCCTTTATTGCTTTTGCTTTAATTAATAGTAGTCCGATCTTGGAACTGTTTGGAATTATAGATTCTACAGGCCACATTCTATAAGAAAATATTTTTTTCCGGTCGATCTGAGACAATTTTTTTTTCTGGGCAAAAAAAAGGCAGTTATTACCTTCCTTTTTTACCAAAAATCGACTGCACCAAAATTTCTCGGGAAAAAACTTTTTCTTATTAATTTGGGTGCGTAGAATCCAAAACGATTCGTACTTTTTCGATTAGACGTCTCAATCAAAAGTTATGGGCAAAAAAAATTCCTGTTTTTAAAATTTAAAATTCTTATTTTCGTCATTTCGTGAATGGCAGGATGCAGGTACCTCACCTCAGTAGCAGTACTAAGTACCTGATACCTATTTGTTATTTTGGGCATCAATGTAGCGAATTGCCGATCGATACCGAATAGCCAAATCGTTGACTGCCAACACTGATCACTCACTGAATAGTGAATACTACAGAATATTTAGATTTTAGTAACTTTAGACTTTAAACAAAACCAAAATTGCTCTCTATATATATACCTATATATTATTGCCTTTATTTTAAAGTGGGCGGAGCGGATAGCGGAGTATGACCTAAATACCTAATAGCTATGACGATAACTCAATTCTTCTGGGGGGGGTGTGTTATATGTTAAAACAAAAGGAAACGACATGTTTGTTTAACATAACTTTATTAACTGAACGCATGTACTTGCGTCTCCGTCCGACTCTCTCTCTGCCTTGTTGCCGGTTCTCCCCTTGTCACTTACTTAATCTATCACAGGGGGGGATATCCCCTTCATCCCCCTCCCGTAAATACGCCACTGCCACTAGTTCCGAATTTGTATTTAGGACTAACTAAAGAGTAATTTGTACCCACAAAATTACCATTTCGACTTTTGAGTGACTTTAAAAGCGAGGGTGCTGGCTTGAACTCTAGCTAGCACCCCCGCCATTCCAAATTCAGCTTTGTAGAAGTGAACTTAATAGTTAAGGAGTAATTTGTACCCAAGTTAGTTTAAACAATTGATTAATTATTATTAATAATCAATGTAAATTACAGATTTATTCTGAAAATTGTTGCTCATAGATTTAGGACTAACTGTACCCATGTGCATTTTTATAAACAACTTGTTTGTTGATAATAATTTATTATTTAATATACTTCTTTATCAGAAAAGGTAATAAATGATTGGTAAATCAGTAAATTATTAATATATTCCGTAATTTGTGTAGTAGGCGTACAAAATTTTTCGAAGTGGCCAATCTTTCGATAAAAGCGAATTGTGCCTTGAATGTATGTATATTTCGCATTATGTAGTTCTATGACAATCCATGTTTGAATCGAGAGACAAAATGTAGACTAAAATCCAATACAATTCCTTAACCTGCCCTATCTTTGTCTCCGAAAACGCTATAAAATCAAAATGCGATACATTAAAGACGACCTTGCTCCATTAGGGGTTGGGGTAGATTACGTTTTATGAACGTTGTCGAGGTTTACATTAAGGAATTGTATTTTACCAAAATGTTCTCTTTCAATATCAATTTTTATTAGACGCAATTTAAAACTTATATACATTCAAGTAAAAACTCAGAAATTGGGT